CCCTTTCTGGACCTGGTGAGCTGAACACTTGGATATCAGCTCAAGCAATCATGGACCATGAGTAATCCAGTCTTGGGAGTGGAAAGGAACAGGCACCATCCAGGTGCTGTCCAACAAGCCATGATGTAGTTGGATTCCTAATGCTTCCCAATAGCTGATGCTCTAGAGGCTGCTAGTCCTCCTTCAGGTGAGAGTTAAGCATCACATAGCGCATGGCGCACTGAAGCCCACGTGACTAATTATGTTACCGTTTTGAGCATAAGGAAAAGCCACCCTTCCTCAGGCTGAGAGCAGTCCTTTCCCAGTCACTTGTTCTGATCTTGCCAGCAATGGAAGAGGTACTTCTGCACTCATGATCATGCGGGGCCAGCAATGGCGGATGAGGCTCTTGTCAGTTGAGGGAGGCAGCTCTGCGGCCAGCAGAGGGAGCAGCGGGTTATCTAGTTGCTCAAGCACGTTAGCCACCCTGATTGGAAGTAAGTTCTTAAATGCCAGCAGATGACTCATTCTGGCTTTGTTTGACTCCTGGGCCCTGGTCCAGCCTTAGTGATATTTGAGAATCATCAGGGAGAGATGCAACCACTATAATAAGCTGCAATGAACATGCAGTTTATTGGATGCCTATAATAAACCATCAACAATCAAGCAAAAAAAAAGGTTACATATCTCCTTTGGTTGCAGGGTTTCCTAATGGCTTTCAGGGCCCTATTTGCTTAGTCACTAGTGTTTGCCTTATGCCGAGCTAAAAACTTAAGCACAAGCTAAGAAGCAATGGATGTTTACTGTTTGTCTGCCCTGGTTTTAGAGGCTGTCAATAGGCCACAACTTAACCCTCCCTTCTGGGAGACCAGAGGTGGGAGGGTAAAGCTGCTTCAGGAAACCAAACAGTTTCATTTCTCACAGCAAAGCAGCCCTTCTTTAAGGAATAAAATCAAGGAAGGTAGCTTCAAGACATTATTTCTGGCACTGTTTCTACATAGTACAAGCTGAAGCTATACATAAAACCCTGGCATGAGTCCAAGAAAGTACCCCAGTTTCTCAACACTGTGAAAGTTCAAACTACGTCATGGTAAACTTTAATAACCCCCTTCCTATTCTTCAGAATACCCCATCTAATACAGACCTGTTGCTGATCAAAAGGTCTGTTGGCTGGTTTGGCAAACCAGCTGCTGGGATGTATGCACAGGTTAAGCTTCCTTCCAACTAGAAACATATTCAAGTTTCAGGAGATGTTAATGGTTTAAGTCCTGCCAGAAGACTGTCTCATGTAAACCAGTTGGGAATTGACAGACAATCAACACATCAGAGACATTTTATTTTCTTTTTTTATTTAAAACATTTCTATGCCGCCC